GATCCCTACTGTACTGTGCATTTAGAAAAATGTGACACAGATGAGTTATGTCACCAGAATCAGCTGACATCATAATGCGATGGGGCAAGAAATAATGTTGCCATTTTCAGAATCTCAGAAGAAAAAAAATTTCTCAATAGAAAACAATTTGGGTTTGTAGAAAACACATTTGGTAAAGGTATCGGTATATTAAAGTAATCGTTGTCTTTTGCCTTCTTGCTCGTTTCTGATAAGTCTGTTTATCATATTAAAAATATTATTTTTACCCCCATTTTTGAGTAGAATAAAATTGGTGTCTCCATTGGATGTGACTAGACAGGGCTTCTCCTGTAATTGTATGTAATCCTTTCACACATTGCTTCAGCATGCTTGTTGACGAGCTGTATAGTAAAGGGCTTTGCAAAAAACATCCAATGGACAAAACACATCCAGCTAGTTAGTCTTAGTTGCTGCCAATGAAAGTAGTGGTATTTTGCATGCTTATGGTATTACACATTTCTAAAGAAGCATCAGTTTGAGGGATTCTACCTAGGTCATTTTTGCTCTGGGTCTGTAGTGTAGCCACTATCTGATGTTTGTTGTTTATGACACAAAGAAATTGAGACAAGTGAAGGGAGAAGCATGTGTCTCTAGCGCACAAACTTCCTGCTTCATTGAATGTCATGTTAGCAAGAGGAACCCAGGGCTGCATTAACAAAGGGGCTGATGGAGCTGCAGCTCCAGGCTCATGCCAATAGAATAGGCCCATTGTTAAAAAAAAGTTTTACTACTCTTCACATGTGGCTGTAGGGAAAGAAAACTTGTGTGGACTGGCTGACAATGAAATTAGTTAATGTAAAGCTGACTTTATGCACTACGCAAATGCTCTTGCTGCTTCAGTCACTCTGTGACATGTTCCCTTTCTTCTAAACTCACTACATACACTATTTCTCTGTCCCAGACTGTATACCAGGAGCTTTTTCCTACTAGTAAGAAGGTAAGGAGAGGAGTGGACAAGTGAGTGCCAGGAGACAGTCCTTAGAAAGCGTGGAGCTCTGCTGTCTGCATAGTATGACCTTAGTTGACATGCATTAACACCAGGCTGACCTAATTCCTCTGGGTAGATTTTTTTGGACATGATTGCACCTCTGGGCGGTGACTGTTTTAGTGTTTTCTGTCGATACGATTCTATAATTAGGCCCATCAGAATTGTCAGCACCAGGCCCAATGGGCTCTTAATACGGCCCTGGAGAAACCCTGCTGGCCACCACTAGACCATCAAAATATAACAACATTGGGGGCGAGTGGGATGATGATGATATGGGAAAAGGGCGGATGATGACCCTGCGATATGAGAAAGTGATGCTGGGGTAGGAGACTGTGAAAGGTGACACTAGTATGGATAGAGAGAAGAGGGTAATACTGGGGTGCGCAGAGAGAAAAAGGATTTACTGCAGCGGGAAGACAGTGACATTAGGGAGCTGGAATTGGTGACACAGTGGTGGTAAGATGGTGACTCTAATAGAGAGGAAATGCTAAGATAAGGTGATTGTATGTTTAAGGGTTGGAGACTGGAAAAACACAAAAGATTTAATTTTGTTTTTGGCTCAAGCCCTTGATATTTTTGCAACCTATCAATGCCTATCTAGACCTATCACACCTATCAACAAAGCTCTAAACCAACATTTAAAGGATATGTTGTTTAAACAAAAAAAAGAAAAAATCACTGGTGAGGTCATCATACCCCATTAAGTGGCCTGGCCCATAACAGTAATTATTTCCCAGGCTGTCACTTTAAGCCATTCGCTGCTAAGATATTTACTAAGAAAAATAATGCACTCCAGATGAGCTAAGTTAGGGACAAATGGCACATTGAGCACACAGTTTGCTCCCTCCTTCTACAAAGTGTTTATGTAAATATTTGGAGACTTTTTGTCAGAAGTAAGGACTTTCTTGGCAAATATTAGCTCTCAGATCATAGAATTTTAAGTGACATGTAATGCTATTTGTCTAACACTATATAAAGAAAATTTATTTATACAGTTCCCCCTCTTCACCTTTGACTTATAATGATATGATTTAGGTATTTGCAGAGTTTTTAAATCCAAGGGATTATGGTATAGGGTGTTATGTCAAGTTTTTAATTCTAAATACTACCATAGTAAATAAAGGAGCATAGACCACTACATGTATTTGTGTTGGTGAATCCTATGCCAGGGATAGGCAACCTTCGGCCCTTCAGATGTTGGGGACTACATCCCCCATAATGCAGTTACACCCATAATGCTGGCAAAGCATCATGGGAGGTGTAGTCCAAAACATCTGGAGTGCTGAAGGTTGCCTATGCCAATATAGCCATTGCTGCCATCCAAAAGAAGTGGTAGTTTGAGCCCAGGGCTTGATATTATGTATTATTTAGGATATTATCTTTTCTGTTTTCGGCTGGTTTGACCAGAACCGGGTCTGGGAGTCCTCAAGAAACTTGCTGCCCAGTCCCCTGTTTTGGCTATTGTTAAGGCACAAGTTCCACTTCCATATTAGCAATACCAATTCATTAGCGGAGCACGTTCACTGATCCACTCAACCAAGATTGCCTACACTGCTTATTTAAAACACATAAAATATTTGTTTTTATAAGAGAAATTAAAGTTATTTTTATTATTAGATTGGTGATTAAATGTCTTATACCTTTTTAGAACTTTTCTTTAGCAAATCAGGCCAGAGACTGTGACTCACTGTTCCTAGAACAAATGGCACTCATCTTTGTAGGCAATTTTATGGCAGGACAGGAGGCTTCATATTTGCTTTACCTTCTTTACTGAAACCTCCAGCAGCAAAGAAACAGTTAACAGAACTTTTCAAAACAACCAATCAGAACAAAGCAACAGTAGTATAAAACCCCTAAGCAGGCTCTTCCACTTCCTCTTTCTTTGCTGCTGCCTCCAGGTGAGCACTCACCAACTCAGAGTTGTCTCTGCTCTTGGTTGTTGTTTTATCTTACATGCTGCTTGTTTATTTAATCAGTCTATTTAATCAGTCTATTTGCTAGGTTTGTTTAGGCAGCTTAATTGCTGGTTTTATTTAGGCAGGGTTCTTGCTGGATTTAGCTAGGCAGTCTATTGCTGTGTTTAGCTAGGCAGTTTATTCTGTGTCATTTCCTATACCGCTTCATGCTATGTATTTGCTGTATCACTTGTTAACATCTGTTGCTGTATTTAGGCTATTTATCTGATAGATTCTGTATACTGCTCATTGATTTATTGTTATTCTGGGTTACTTTATTCTGTTTTCTCACTCTGCTGTATGTGGAATGGGTGCCCCTGCTATGATGCTTTGGCTCTGCCTGTAATCTGTTCCCCCTCCCCTCCCTGGGTTCCCCTGCTGGGCTCTGTTGCCCATACCCTTCTCCCTTATTCCCCACCTGCTCCCCGTGGCCCCTGGCTGCTTGCAGTGCCGCACGATCACCACGCGGTAGGCCGCGCTCTGTTTTTGCAGCCACGGCAGCCATTTTGTTGGAGCCGCGGCGGCCATTTTTCAGAGCCACATGGGCTCTGTGCGTTGCGAACAGCCAGGTCTCACCCAAGAACTGGCCTGCTGGCCATGTGGCCACCCTCCCCTCTCCCTATATCAGGGGAGATAGCCCAGTTTTTTTTAGCTATCCCTCTACTTACTGTGCCTGTCTCACATGCTGCATATGTAACAGATCCTGGATAGCAGGATCTGTCCCAGGCATGCTCACAACTGCAGCTTACTATGTCTGATGCAATGTGACTAGGTTCTCTATTTTAGCAGTAGACTTGTCACACTTTTTTTACTATTACATGTGAATCTCAGATTTAAAGGGACATGTTACTGCTCAAATAAAAATCTTTGTTTAACAAGAATATGCCACATGTGTTATATGCTAATCAAGTCTTTCTCGAAGGTTCAGTCTTTTTCTCATAAAAATTAAATGGCCTGTTTTTCAGCACCTAGCTCCCCTGCCTAGGATTTGCTGCCCTCCCTGCAAAGGACTTAAATTTTCCACTACACATACACTTCAAAAGTGTATCCTAATATAATACCTGAGTGGTCTGTGAGTCAGCTTCTCGCTATATGGACCCTCCTACCCCTCAGCGGGGCTACTGGCCCCACATTCAGACCTGTTATTACTGGGGGGTGAACCCCCCCCATCCATATTTCTGGGGCTCTACCTGCTACTGGACCATAATAATGGACGTGTGACACCATTGTGGGCTGGGTGACCCCCTCCCTCTGGCAACATGGCTACCTATGAGTACCCTGCTGGCTCTACAGCGTCCTGTAAGATTAATGCTGAGGGTGACCCCCTCCTGCTTCCTATACTAATGCTCCGGCAATGTCCTGCTATTATCATACCGAGGGGGTACCCCTCCTGCAGTCTGCACTGCTGGACCTGCAGCGTCCGGGTATTCCCATAAAAGAGGGTACCCCTCCCACTGATTGAGCTTCTGTTCTTACAGTGCCCTGCAATACGCAGATACTGAGGGTGACCCCCTCCTGTGGACTACTCTGCTGGAGGGTCCCGTTATAACCATAATGAGGGTGACCCCCTCTCGCTGACTACACTGCTGGGTGTACAGACCTCTATGATACAACACTGAGGGTGAACCCCTCTTACCTACAGCACTGCTGGACCTGCAGCGTCCGGGCATTCCCATAAAAGAGGGTACCCCTCCCACTGATTGAGCTTCTGTTCTTACAGTGCCCTGCAATACGCAGATACTGAGGGTGACCCCCTCCTGTGGACTACTCTGCTGGACCTACAGGGTCCCGTTATAACCATAATGAGGGTGACCCCCTCTCGCTGACTACACTGCTGGGTGTACAGACCTCTATGATACAACACTGAGGGTGAACCCCTCTTACCTACAGCACTGCTGGATCTGCAATGCCCAGTTCTGGTTATATGAGGGTGACCCCCTCCTGCCGTCTACACTGCTGGACCGGCAATGTTTGGTTACTTTATTATACGGCTAACCACTTCGGCACTACTGTACCTACAGTGTCCGATTATGTTCAGACTGAGGGTGACCCCCTCCCCTGCTGGCCTAAACTGCATGGTATGTTTGTGCTTGTTGGGTGATGCCCTCTTGCACGCTGGGTGACCCCCAGCTGGCCGCACCACTGTACCTACAGTGTCCGATTATGTTCAGACTGAGGGTGACCCCCTCCCCTGCTGGCCTATACTGCATGGTATGCTTGTGCTTGTTGGGTGAACCCCTCTTGCACACTGGGTGACCCCCAGCTGGCCGCACCAGGTATCATTCCGACAGTGTTACCTCTATGGCAGTTGTGCAATCACGGCTGAAGGACAAATCTCCCGTACCCAGAAGGTCACTTGGCCTGTCCTCTTGCCGCCCCGCTGACCTCACTGCCAGAAACCATCGGTACCCTATGGGGACACTCCACCGGCCATCCTAGACGCTACACCAAGCACCCCTGGTACTCGTTGGCTAACGGATGGATTCATCAAGAGGATCAGTCTTCATGACGGAGTCCGGAAAGGACACCGCAAACACCTGACACGGGGTTTGCACTCTATCTGGGACTAACCAGTGGATGTCGGTGACACGCGGACACAGATGTTTCCTTGGGACGAACGGCGCGTTACCGCTTGGAAAGCGGAGAAGACTAAATTCCCACTGGGAATGGACCGATATGACTTATAGGTATCGCCTAGTTGGTTTCTACCCCTGAGAACCGCAAAACGGCCCCTGTCCAAGCTGGACATCAAACTGATGGATTTAGCATCCAAGTGCTGGGTCTGCTCTCCGGAGTTACCCTCGTGTACAAATTGAGCCGACACGTCTCTATTCATAGGGTTCCCCTTAACTAGCCCCAGAGGTCTCTCGGACCGTGCCCGGACTCCAGATCAAGGTTGCGGAACCTTGGACCGTTCCATGAGCGATACGCATGACCAAAAGAGGCATCCATTCCGACTCATTCCGCAGTTGCCCTGCTGGGCAAAGAGTGCGGTGGAGTGGACTCCCGCCCCATCCCCACGCTACATGTTCCCAGTGCATGCCGTCTGTTGACACATTTTGAGATGGAGGGCACTCATCCCCTCTGAGAGCTGCTCGGCGTTGACGATTGGTTCTCTCCCTCAAATGCACATGAGAGAAACCCGCATGGATTTTGCCATCACCATGGACATATTGAATCTGACTCACTCCAAGTCAACCCAGTTTCCGGTGTTTCATGGAATATTCGGTCCAGGCGGTGCTCCGCCTCCCGAGGTCCAAGATGTCAGTCTTCAGGGAAAATATCAGGTATATGCTCCGCAACCTGCGGGTTACACTTAGGGGCCCAACCCAGTTAATTGACCGTGCCTATTCGCCATGGAAGCCATACCTCCAGGATCCGGTACTATCAGCCGCTCCAACATGGCGCTTTCTCGGGTCTTTGGCCTGGTATGACCAAATCATGTGACCTTCGGATGAAGCTCATCTAAGACTTAATTGATGACTCCGGAGGAGGGACTCCTTTACGCCAACTGCATGGATCTACCTGCAGGTTTGTTCAACATTCACAGTATTGCTCGCTACCTTCCGGCATGGACTTCTCACCGGTTGCCCACTACGGACTGCAGTCGGATCTCACATAGGATCGCTATCTATAGCTTCTGGACAAGTATTCGTCATTTGTGACAGAATGTATGCGGGACGAGACACTTGTGTGGCGGACGGCTTCACCCGGCCATGGAGAGACCCCAATGATTGGTTGCCTCACCCTCCAGGGTCTCGAGTACTGGCATGATTACATTCGGTGCGAACCGCCATGTGGAGCGGTTCTCCAACTGGCTGCCGGACCCTCAGCGAGGCGAGGGACGAGTTTTCCAAGCTTGGTCTCCTTCGGGGCGTACGCATCCCGTTTACCTACAGGATACTTTGGGTTTTGCTTCAGACCGAATTCCTGGAAGTGTCGTTTCGCCTGGCCAAACCACTTCGGAGGAGTCCTGCGTGCTTTCCCCTTTTTGCTGGAGTTTGCCATGGGAAGGCAATCTACGACTCCCTGTCTCTTAATGTCCCACGTGGGATCCACAGGGGTAGCCTGCCACGACTTGTGTTTGGGTCCCAATGGCGGTCCTTATCATGGCTGTCCCCATTGTCTGGCTGAGTTGCCCTCTCAGGGTAGGATCTTATGGGGCCATTCACGTCCTATGTCAGCTAGTGGACGACTCGTGCGTTTTCTCAAGATTCTGGCATTGCTAAGGATCTCTTGGTCTGCAGTCTACCAAGAGGAGTATACCGTACGGGAGCCCTATCTCTCGCCAGTTTTTTCCGCTTACGGTTTCCCCCCAGTACATCTTGTATTTCATCGCGTTCTGACGTCATGGTATCGACGTGTCTTCTTCCTTCTTGCCGTTCAGTACATCGGCTTCTGCTCCACACATATTTCATTTTTATTCGTCCTCTGTGTCGTACCCCTATTCTCCGGATAGGCCACAGCTCTGTTGACAGATTGTACACGACCATGTAGATCCAGGATCTGGTTCTTTCGTCCGTCTACTCATGGACAGCTGTTTATTTCTGCGTACGGACGTTTTGGACTGTTTCTGCATCTTCGCTCGCCCTTTGGATTTGGTGGATCCTCTCATTGACTGACCTTGAGTTCCTTTGGGACACTTTTGGTTCGGGGTGCTGTCACCTCAAAATTTTGGAAGCCGTTGGGTCCCTTCTGCATTTTCTCTACACCGCTGCTTGGTTTAGGGAATCCGTTTTTCCATTCTCCTTTATTTCAGTCCTCTATCTCATATTGCTTCTGGTTCTACTATTTGGGCGTTAAAATTTCAAATATGAAGCCTCCTGTCCTGCCATAAAATTAGGGATTATTCTAGCCTAGTGAGGGAATAATCTAAATTTTATTAAAGACAGGAGGCGAATATTTCCCCCCCCCTTTTTTTTACGTTCCCTCCCTGGATCTGGGTTTTATTCTATTATAAATAATTGGGGATATTGTTATGTTTTGTGAATGCATAGTTTTACATAATAAAGGTTATTTCTAATATTCAGTGATGGTTGTCCGTGTGCGTTTTATTCATCATGTTTGTGTTGTAATTATGTTTCGTCAATGCCTTTTAGCTTAGGTACATACTAGGTCTTCATAAGATCTGTAGACTTTGTTTATTCATCAGGTATTATGATGTGAAAGTGATATTGTATGGATATGACATCTTGCCTTGACAGTTTACTTTCACAATGTTTTCTGTTTTCTTGCAGTGTAATCTGTTTTCTCTCTGGGCTTGACGATTGTTTCTCTGGATGTGTCTGCTACAAGGTGGATTCGTTGGTTTCCTTGCTCTCCTGCTCGACCTCATCAAAGAAAGAGGAAGTGGAAGAGCCTGCTTAGGGGTTTTATACTACTGTTGCTTTGTTCTGATTGGTTGTTTTGAAAAGTTCTATTAACTGTTTCTTTGCTGCTGGAGGTTTCAGTAAAGAAGGTAAAGCAAATATTCGCCTCCTGTCTTTAATAAAATTTAGATTATTCCCTCACCGAGGCTAGAATAATCCCTAATTATTAGGCCTCTTATAAAAATGTCATCTGTGGTTGAGCTCCTCTCACTACAGGTAACTTAGTGGATCACAGATTCGACACTGACAGTTTTTTTCCCAGCTGGCTAGTAGAGCACACTTGTTT